TAAGAATTCTTAGGTCTCAAATATAGAATAAATGTTCATAAGTGCACAAGATGAATGTTATGTACTGAAGTTCTCACCCTGGGCCAGCAGGGGGATACTGTAGATAGTTATGCAAATAAGGGATCGAAAGTGACGTTCAGTGATTGGATAGTTTTAGAAAGTTGTAACAATTATGTGTACTGGAACTCTGACTGATTGCACGGATTCGAACTGCAGGCTGACTGAGCTCTTCAGCTCAGTTCTGTTCTGGCCTCTGAATAAAGAAGAGCTGTTTGAAGAACCGCTGTGTCATCTGATATGTTCACCCACAACTTAACAATGAACACACATACATAAGTGTATAAACCACATGTCTGAAATAGTACAGGAGAGCAATTCTGAAGCCATCTTGATTCTTAATGACATCAAGATGGACCCTGAGGTCCAGCGCTGAGGGCCTTCTGGCAGTTCCCTCACTGTGAAGCTAAGTTACAGGGAACCAGGCAGAGGGCCTTCTCGGTAGTGGCACCCGCCCTGTGGAACACCCTCCCACCAGATGTCAAAGGAAAAAACAACTACCAGACTTTTAGGAGACATCTGAAGGCAGCCCTGTTTAGGGAAGCTTTTAATATCTGAAGGACTATTGTATTTTAATATTTTGTTGGAGGCCGCCCAGAGTGGCTGGGGAGGCCCAGCCAGATCGGTGGGGTATAAATAGTAAATTATTATTATTATTATTATTATTATTACTATTATTATTGTTATTATTATTACCCCAAATATTTCCCTAACCCTCTCCAAAAAATCCCTGCATTGCAGGGGGTTGGGCTAGAATGTCCCTTCCATCTCTACAATTCTATAAGTCTATTACTCCAGTTAGAATCTACCGCTTGTGTTATTCTGCATGCAACCCACTAGTTCTCCATTCTTTTGTCAGAACCCTCAAGAAACACACTTAGAATCAGGAGCCAAAAGCTGATGCCCTGCATAGATCTGGAGTTGTCTCTCAGTGCATCTACCTAACCAGCACAGGTCCACACTCTGCACTTGTAAAGGAAAAGACAGGGCTGAGTCCAGCTGGTGGTAACCAACAGGATTTGGGAGCGTTGCTTCCCTACTCACATGAAATCCCATGGCTCTGAAGCGCCTCCAGCTTCAAAGCCGGGGAGATAACGGAGATAGTGGCAATGACCAATTTTGCAGAGGCGGATCTCCTGCAGGGGCACGCCCCTGTTTGCCACAGGATAGAAAATCAATTCTCCCAAAGGTGCCTAGGAATCCAGAAGAAATGGCAGACATAATAATCTCCTAATCAGCACTGCATTCTAGAGAAGGGCAGCAATTTGGCAATAGCCCAGCTGGCCAGAAAATGCTAAGTTTAGGGAAGTTTTTAATGTTTAGGGAAGTTTTTAATGTTTAATGCTGTATTGTGTTTTTCATATTCGATTGGGAGCTGCCCAGAGTGGCTGGGGAAACCCAGCCAGATGGGCGGGGTATAAATAAGTAAATAAATAATAATAATAATAATAATTATTATTATTATTATTATTATTATTACTTGTGCTTTTGGCTCATTCCTTGCAGAGTGACATACAAGCCACTGGTTGCAACCAAGCAATTGAGACATTTGGAGGGATGTCGAAATAATAGCCTTTCCCAGTGGTTACGGCTTGATTAAAAACCTAATGACTAATCAATAAAACTATAATTACAACTTTCACCATTTTGCGTGCAATTTGGGACATGCCAAAATGGGGGGAGGGATCAATCAAGTAAGAATCGATTGGGAGTGGGGAGGAGGGGAATGATTCTCCCCCTCATTTGCCTCACCTCTGAGGAAACTGAACCAAACTCCAAATTCAAATATTTTGCAGCCTGGCTTCTTATCAAAAAGAAGAATAAAGGAGGAAGGATGTGTTAAAACCCCCACACACAAACATATGCATTTTAGAAGGCTTCTACAGAGTCCTGATTTAACAGGGAGACCGTCGCCCTGAAATGTAACTGATGTTCTAAGGGAGGTCTCTATAGAATATGCTTCCCTTAACAAGTAATGGGATCCTGAAGCCTCAAATAGCCCAGTACTGTGGTACCTCAGGTTAAGAACTTAATTCGTTCTGGAGGTCCGTTCTTAACCTGTAACTGTTCTTAACCTGAAGCACCACTTTAGCTAATGGGGCCTCCCGCTGCCGCCGCACCACCAGAGAATGATTTCTGTTCTCATCCTGAAGGAAAGTTCTTAACCTGAGGCACTATTTCTGGGTTAGCGGAGTCTGTAACCTGAAGTGTATGTAACCTGAGGTACCACTGTAGCTGCAAACTCCGTCCCCCCGCCCCGCCCTGCCCCGCTAGAAAGAACATGGTCCATCCAAGACACTGCAGCTCTTTCTGAAGGGCTCAGTGGAAAGCAATGGATGCATAGCTGCAATGTTTCCCTGGAGGGGAGGCCACAAGTGTCTCCTGCATCTACCAACAGAGGCTGTGAAAGACAGCAGCAGCAGCATGACAAAGTCCTGGCCGAGGAGGACTTCGACTCAAACCAATTGCTTAAACTTGCAGGCCAGCAGAGAACCAGGGCAAAACGTACCACACTTTTCTGTGGTTAAGTACTTTTTCTCGGGTTAAGAACTTAATTCATTCTGGAGGTCCGTTCTTAACCTGAAACTGTTCTTAACCTGAGACACCACTTTAGCTAATGGGGCCTCCTGCTGCTACCGCGCCGCCAGAGCACGATTTCTGTTCTCATCCTGAAGCAAAGTTCTTAACCCGAGGTACTATTTCTGAGTTAGCGGAGTCTGTAACCTGAAGCGTCTGTAACCCGAGGTACCACTGTATAAGACAGCCCATGTATAAGACGCCCCCTATTTGGGGGGACTCAAATTCAAGAAAATGGGGGGAGATGGCACAGAGTTGTTCAGCTTTTTTTTGCGGAGGGTTGCACAGAGTTGTTCAGCTTTTCTTAGGGTGGGTTGACGAAAATCGCTCACCAGCACGTGTCGCAAAATCCGCCTCTTGTCTGCCCCTCACTGGCAGAAGCTGCCAATCGCCTGCCCAATCGTCAGCCAATCAACACCACCCATTGACGCAGCAACCAATAACACGCACAATAGCCGCTAACAGCCGTGGCAGCAACCAATCAAACGTCCACCCTATGCACTACCCATGTATAAGACGACCACCATTTTTAGCATGATTTTTAAAGAAAAAAACCTAGTCTTATTCACAGAAAAGTACGGTACATAGTATTTCCCCCCAGTATAGTAACTCTGGATCCATTCCAGTCTGGCTTCCGCGCTGGTCATGGGACCGAGACGGCTCTGGTTGCCCTAACAGATGATCTTCGTAGACAGCTGGATCAAGGCGGGTCGGGGCTGCTGATTCTTCTAGATCTGTCAGCAGCTTTCGACATGGTCGATCACGAACTTCTGGACCACCGCCTTGCCGACGTGGGGATTCAGGGCACAGTCCTTCAATGGCTGCGCTCGTTTCTCTCTGGTCGGGGACAGAGGGTGGCGCTTGGGGGGGAATTGTCATCGCACCACTCCTTGGTGTGTGGAGTACCTCAGGGTGCGATACTCTCCCCGATGCTTTTCAACATCTTTATGCGCCCCCTCGCCCAGCTTGTCCGGAGTTTTGGGCTGGGTTGCCATCAGTATGCCGATGACACCCAACTCTATCTGTTGATGGATGGCCATCCTGACTCGGCCCCAGACACACTGACCAGATGTTTGGAAGCTGTGGCTGGATGGTTACGTGGGAGCCGGTTGAAGCTAAATCCTTCGAAGACAGAGGTCCTGTGGCTGGGACGGGGCGATATGGGATTGGGGGGGCAACTCCCATCTCTTGCGGGGGCGCACTTAGTGCCAGCACCGTCCGTTAAGAGTTTGGGTGTAATCTTCGAAACCTCCCTTTCCATGGAGGCGCAGATTGCAGCTATAACAAAGGCGGAATTTTTCCATCTCCGCCAAGCTAAGCAGTTGGCTCCTTACCTCTCTCGCCCTGACCTAGCCACTGTGATCCACGCGACGGTCACCTCCAGACTGGATTATTGTAACTCGCTCTACATGGGGCTGCCCTTGAGACTGACCCAGAAACTCCAGCGGGTGCAGAATGCTGCAGCGAGACTCCTTACGAGGTCTTCGCTGCGAGATCACATTCACCCGGTGGTATACCAGCTGCACTGGCTCCCGGTGGAGTACAGGATCAGGTTTAAGGTGCTGGTTTTAACCTTTAAAGCCCTATACGGCCTAGGACCCTCGTACCTACGGGGCCGCCTCTCCTGGTATGCCCCACAGAGAAACTTACGGTCTTCAAATAAAAACATCTTGAAGCTCCCAGGCCACAGAGAAGTTAGGCTGGCCTCAACTAGAGCCAGGGCTTTTTCGGCTGTGGCTCCGATCTGGTGGAACACTCTGTCACAAGAGACCAGGGCCCTGCGGGACTTGACATCTTTCCGCAGGGCCTGCAAGACAGAGCTGTTCCACCAGGCCTTTGGCCAGGGCACAGCCTGACTCCCTCCCTCGGCAATCTTCACGGAGCTCTGGCCCAATGGTTGCCAGTGGCTTGAATTAATTAATTTTAGAATGAATGATTTTAGAATGTTGTTTATGCTGTACTTTTGTACTGTTTTATTGTTGTTAGCCGGGCTCAGGGCGGCTTCGGCTGGGGAGGGTGGGATATAAATAAAAATTTATTATTATTATTATTATTATTATTATTATTATGCATTTTATTGCATTTTAAATATATTTTAAAGCTGCCTCAAGATTTTCAGTTAACTGGCAGGATATAAACACTCCAGATACCGAACGTGCCCTGCTTTAGACCTCTTGATACTTAGGTATCTTGTCCCTCTGGATATAGATCAACACTACCAATGGGTCCGTTGACCTTCCAAAGCCTACACTAGGCAGCCGATGGTGGCAGAAATCCCTTGCAAAATGACCCCCTCATTCAGGCGTGCATCTGCCCACTCTCCCCCATCCCCCTCTTGTGAAAAACAGATTTGAACTTCTACTTACTACTTCTCCCAAGGAAGCGGCCAGCATGTGCGTGAAAGGAGATAAATATGGAGAGGCATCTTTGCGGAGCGTGGCTTTTGTGAACTCGTAGGTGGCAAAAAAGGCAGCAGCTGAAACAGAAGACAGAGTGTCTGTTAAGCTACTCAGGGGTCCCCTCTGATAGCACACGCAACTGTGGGTGCAACGTCGACTACATTCAAGTGCTATAAGGTGAAGATCTCCTAGCATCTCGCCCAAAGCAAGTGTCCAGACAAAATCCCTGCCCCACCACACATCATTCAGAATGAAAATCTCCAGAAGCAGGGAGAAGGCAGTGGCCTTTTCTAGCAGTGCTACAGTGGTACCTTGGTTCTCAAACGCCTTGGTACTCAAACAACTTGGAACCCAAACACTGCAAACTCAATGAAGATTTAAAAGAAAGGTGGGGAATTAGACTGCAGACTGTACATGAATGAGCAATTCAACATTCAAGTCAGACTTCCAGGTGTTCAGAAACACCAACTCTAGTCACGTTTTATTGTAAATATTCCCTTTTCCTTTAAAAGCCACAAATGCAAAATACCAAAATGGTGGCATAAAAGTAAAGTTAGATGTTGAAACCACAGCAGTAGCGTATTTACTCAAGTCTAATGCAACATCAAATCCAATGCGCACCTTAATTTTCACAACGTAATTTGGCCAGAAAAGGTGCGCATTAAATTCAAGTGAATACAGTATTTTGCACGGAAAAGGGGTCTAAAAATCTGCCTTCTGTCCAATCAAAGGCCGTTTAAAATACAGTAGTACATCGGGTTACATATGCTTCAGGTTACATACGCTTCAGGTTACACACTCCACTAAGCCAGAAATAGTGCTTCAGGTTAAGAACTTTGCTTCAGGATGAGAACAGAAATCGGGCTCCGACGGCGCAGCGGCAGCAGGAGGCCCATTAGCTAAAGTGGTGCTTCAGGTTAAGAACAGTTTCAGGTTAAGTACGGACCACTGGAACGAATTAAGTACTTAACCCGAGGTACCACTGTACCTAACTCTTGCTGCATCCCAATAAACAGAAAGCATTTCAGAATGTAACACTGTAATCCAATTACACAACAACCTGTGCATAACTCCGACTGAGCTCAACTGAACTGAACTTCTGAGTCAATGTGCACAGGATTGTGCTGTAAAAATGCAAACGGTACAGAACAAAAGGAGTGAACTTTGCCAAGAGGAAGAGTTTTTAATTGTGTGACAGGGCTCCTCCATCTGTCGCCCTCTGTTGCTAATCAAAAGATGCTTATCATCTCCAAAAGGAGATAAGAGCAGAGACGATGGAGAAGAGAAAATTTTCATATCATCTTATGAAGGGCTGGGAAGGTTTGAAGGTGCCCGAGGATGCTCCCGTAAACTTTCAATAACATCCACCAGCAGCCAAGCTGAAAGTGCTCAGAAAGAGTAAGGGTATTGCTTGACCCTGCTTCTTTAAGTTCATTCAACATTTATAGCAAGCCTATTCAAATGTAACACTAAGCCATGTTCTAGTGATATGCGCTGGGGAAGCAGCAACAGCAAATTTGTAACTGCAATGCGGACTCCCAGCATTTGAACATAGCAAAATTATGGTTTTAAAAAGCAAAACCACAGAGTCATAGCTGTCAACTGTCCCTTATTTGGCAGGAAACTCCCTTATCCCAGCGCCGTGTCCCACTGCTGTCCCTTACTGATGATGTCCCTTAAATTTCCCAGGTTTCATGCTCGCCCGGCTCGGGAGGGAAGCAGCGGCTCGGGGTCCGCTGCGAGAGAGAGAGCGTGATGGCGCCGTCGTCCTGGCGCGAGGAGTTTCATCGGCCCTTCCCCGCCTGAGAGGGGGAGGGAGGGAGTGAGACTCTCGCCCACACCGCCCGCGAGCCCGGAGGCGGCAGCGGTGGTGGCAGCTGAGGAAGTGGCCTGAGGGAGGAGGAAGAGGAGGGGATGGGGAGGGACGCAGAAGGGCGGCGCTTCAGCGGCTGCTGCGGCGCCGCAACCACCTCATGCCGGATTGACAGCATCTGTCAATCCTACCAATGTATGTAACTCTTTACAATAGCAAAATCCCTTCTTTTGGCTGCTGATCCCTTACTTTCGAGGCTGCTGGTCCCTTATTTTCAAATCTACAGAGCAGACAATACTGGACTAAATGTGAAACAGAGAGAAGAATTCAACGAAGCAACAGAGGAGACTGCTCTGTCAGTGTGGGCAGAAGGGCTTGCACTGACGAAGCAAACTCTCCACTCCCTGCGCTGTTCTGGTTGTTCTCCAAACCCAGGCTCTGAGTCAACTGGGGGGGGGGGGCGGGGCATGCAGGGGAGGAGAACCAGTTAGTTGAATCTGGCCCATAGCAGTTAAGGGACTGAGCTACAATGAGGGTGTGCCCTGTCTGAATCTCCACTAGGCTATGAACTTACAAGGCGGTCTTAAGAATCCACTCTTTAAGCCTCAGTCCCCATCTACACCCTCCCCTGCAATATGGAGACAATTATACTGACTTGCCTCTGGGATGTTGCAAGGATTACATCCATTTCATCACTTGTAAACGTGTCACCTATGATTATTATAACCATGACTTCTAGATCCGGGGTTCCCAAACTGTGGGCTGCAGACCACCACCAGCCCGTAAGTTTCATTCAGGTGGTCTGTGGCATGTCTGTGAAGAAGGCTTACCATCTGAATCCCATAGAATTATATGGAATTCAAAATGCAATACAATAAAACACAAGTTACAGATAGGTAGCCGTGTTGGTCTGCCATAGTCAAAACAAAAAAAATTCCTTCCAGTAGCACCTTAAAGACCAACTAAGTTAGTTCTTGGTATAAGCTTTCGTGTGCATGCACGAAATCTGAAGAAGTGTGCATGCACACGAAAGCTTATACCAAGAACTAACTTAGTTGGTCTTTAAGGTGCTACTGGAAGGAATTTTTTTGTTTTAATAAAACACAAGTATAAGAAACAAAAGGAGCAAAACGTACAACTGAAAACCATCCAGCATCTAGCACAGAACCTTACAATTCCCACAGTGGAGGAAAATAATAATTAAGTGGTCTGCCAAGACGCTCAGTAATTTCCAAGTGGTCTGGAGGGGGGGGGGAGTTGGAGAACCAGTGTTCTAGATAAATCCAAAATTTTATCTGGTCTGATTTCTCTCACGAAAAAGAAGGATAATTGTATCCAAAAGATAAGAGCCCCCATTTTCACACCATCTTGATGCCTTCAAGCATTTTTCAGAAGTACTAGCAAAGTTCAGGCCTTAAACCAAACAGCGGTTAGTTAAGAGGCAGCAGCATTGATCACAAATACAGAGCATATAAACGGCCTCCTTACCATTTGGAAAGGACCCCACAGCAGTGGAAGGAACACCAGCATAGATGCCACGGAAGCCACCAGCTTTCTTAAATCCTTGAGGACTCTGCAGTCTTGTCTTGACTGTATCCAAGGGGAACAATATCAGGTCCACACACACTCCAGCTAGGCCACCAGCCTTCAAAGCAGAAAAGAATTTTTTCATGTTAACTGGGGTGGGGGTGGAGAGAGACAGAATACTGGCAGTTTCACATGATTAATTTCTCAGTTTAATAAACCAGAAAATGTACACGTCGTGCAATGGCGCACAGAGCCTCATTTCTGCTGCTTTGCTCCTCCCTTTGTTCAAGCAGCTGAACAAACCAGGTTTCAGGTTTTACCCCTAGCTTCCATTTAAGGGCAAACCTGGAAACGCTGCTTTAACAGTTTGCAAGCAAAACAGGATATTAAGCCAACTCTAAGCCATAGTTTTAGAACCTGGAGCATAGCATAAAACAAAATCAGAGGGACAACCACCCCCAATAACCTTATCCTTGCTGGTCCTGATTCTGGAGTTCACACAATATTGCTCACACATACACACAGAGGAAGGGGGGAACTTGCTATCTAATAGCGGCAGGGAACATTCATCACTACCAGGAAAAATAGAAAAGGTGGCCACACCCCACTCACTTTCATTTCACAGAAATCTCTTAGACAGTACCTGTACATTTTGCCCCATAACTTTCTTTCCACAAGGGCTAGTAGGGATTTTGATTTTTTTTTTAAGAGTACTAGTCACCCACTAGTACTGCTGAACAACATTTTCAAAGACAGATTAAAATTGTATCCAGACCCTTGATCATCTTGGTTGCCCTCCTCTTGCACGCATTCCAGCTTGTCAACATCCTTCTTAAATTGTGATGCCCAGAACAGGGCACAGTATTTCAGGTGTGGTCGGACCAAGGCAGAATAGAGTATTACTTCCCTTGATCTGGACACTATACTTCTGTTGATGCAGCCTACAATAGCATTAGCCTTTTTTGCTGCTGCATCACACTGTTGACTCATATTAAACTTGTGGTCCCCTAAAAACCCCTAGATCCTTTTCACATGTACTACTAGTAAGCCAGGTGCCCCACATCTTATATTTGTACAGTTGGTTATTCCTGCCTAACATTTGCCCCTATTGAAATTCATTTTGTTAGTGAAGACCCAGTTCTCCAATCTGTTACGGTCATTTTGAATCCCGATTCTGTCTTCCGTGGCATTAGTTACCCCTCCCAGTTTGGTGTCATCTGCAAATTTGATGATGTGCACATATTATAGAATCATAGAATCATAGAGTTGGAATAGACCACAAGGGCCATCGAGTCCAATCCCCTGCCAAGCAGGAAACACCATCAGAGCACTCCTGACATATGGTTGTCAAGCCTCTGCTTAAAGACCTCCAAAGAAGGAGACTCCACCACACTCCTTGGCAGCAAATTCCACTGTCGAACAGCTCTTACTGTCAGGAAGTTCTTCCTAATGTTTAGGTGGAATCTTCTTTCTTGTAGTTGAAAGGATACGCCGTTAGCATAAGAAATTGCTGTGGAATACAAGTATGCAGGAACAGCAACAAAGGGACATGAACAGATAGCTAATATTTATAAATTGATAGCATTATACTAAGCACCAAATCGTAAATAGGACCAACACAGCCCCTGCGTATAGTATCTCTCTCACGCAGCCATTTTTAACCGATTCAAATTATTTCAAATCTGCAAAGACACAGGCAAGTCAGACAAGACTACATTACCAAACAAAATATATCAAGAGGCTATTTATTTATTTAGAGGATTTTTAAGCCACCCTTTAGGGCACACTGTCCTCACAAGGTGGTTTTCACAAAGTTAAAAACAAAACATCACCACAACCATCGCAGCAATAAAATACTCCACCAATCCCTTAATTTTTAAGCAGCAGCAATAACATGGTTTAAAAGAACAGCACACTAAATTTAGACAGACACAGGCTGAAATAAAAATGACTTTAAGGGCCTTTGGCATTTCTCTAGGAAGGGAATGTTAATGGTACAGGGTCACAAGTGAAAAGGCCCTGTTCTTGGTTCCCTCCAGTCTAACAGCTTTCACTGGTGGGCCAGAAAGAGCAAGGCCTTTGGTGCAAATCTTAAAGTTCTGGCAGGTTTATACAGGTGCAGAGAGTCCTTCAGATAACCCGGTCCAAACCATTTAGGAAGGAAGATGAACTTGTGGCCCTCCAGGTGTTGCTGAACTACAAGTCCCATCAGTCGCAGCCAACTTGGCCAATGGTCAGGGATGACAGGCAATATCTGGAGGGCCACAGGTTCACCCTCAATCACTTGTGCCCTTGAAGGCCAAAACCAGCACTTTAAATTGGGCTTAGAAATGAACAGGAAGCCAATATAAATAGTAAGGAATTGGTGTAATAGGATCACCTGCCACCCACAAGCATTTTAATTGCTGCATTCTGCAGTTCCCTAGCCATCTTCAAAGTGTAATGTGTATTAGGTGGGCTAATAAGGATTTTTATAAGCTACTAAAATACCTGCAAGACTTCATTACCACATTGCAAAATTAAATTGTGTTGCTTTAAAACACATACATACACACACACACATCAGCAGCATGTTCTTCCAAACCAAGGCCCAAAGATACATGAAATGTTCATTTTCTTTGAAAATAAATCAAACAGTAATTAATTTCAGCTCACATAGTACTGCTGAATATCTTGATAGCAGAAGCCCAGGGAGGCCACCCCCACTTCCGATATTCCACCCCCGATATACCATTCAAGAGGGACTCACTGGCTACAGTTAAAGTTTTAATCAATAAGTTAATTACTCTTCTAATCAGCTTGGCTATTTTGCATGCATTGATTTTGCAGCCCCCTGCAAGTTATATCCTTCTAGCTTCTTCTCCATCACAATTCTTATCTGTAACAAGTGATTAAAAAGGGTGAAAACAAAATTGATCCGATTTTAATCTAGCCACCTGGCAAAAAGCATGAATCAAAAGTTACTAATTGCTTCTTTGGATTTCAAACTTCTGTATCTTAAACGTAATTTAAATTCATGAAGTGGCTAATGGAGCATCTGCAGGAGAGCACAAATATCTAGCTGTTTGTTCCATCTGTGGAAAACCATAATGGTTTTTTCTTTTGTTTTTATCACAACAAGGGGATTTAGTCACCCCCTTTTGCAATGCTACATCTGCAGCTTGAAAGCTGATAAATAGAAGTATTTGCATGCAATTGCCTTTGCAGCTCAAGGTAAATGTGTTCTGTCACCTTTGTGTGTAGGGTTTCTAGTTTGGGTCTGCTTCAGGGCTGTGATGGTGAGGGGCCTGGACCTGTTTAACTTGTTTGAGGAGAGCCCATAGCACAGTGAATGATCGCTGCATGCTGTCAGGTTCAATCTCCATCATTTTAAAAGGAATTTAAGGGAAACAGCTTTGCCAAAACTTTGAGAGTCAGAGAAAACAATTAAGGGCCAGCATCTGATAGGGTGTGACTATAAGTTGACCTTGCTGCTAAATAGTATAGTGTAGCTTCATAAGAACATATTCTCAACTTACAAATGGAGAACTGAGAAATAGCGATGGTCAATTATTACTTTAATTAGTTGTTATACAGCTGACTCACTTCTTGTGCGCATTTAACTTGCACAATTTCAGCTTTACATGCTTGGTAGCTGGTTGAAATCACACACACAAGGCAGAGAGCTTTTAAACTTACTATTTTCATTGAGGTGATACAATGTTGTGCCAAATTAGCAACATAATATGTTCAATGTTTCTAATTTTTGTTAATTTTATTTTACAATACATTTGTTTTTCTAAAACTGGATAAAAAACATTGATTTACAAGGCATGCTCCCATGCTGGAGGTTGGTTATAACTAAAAGCCACCAAATGCCAATTGTTTTCCCAAATGGTACAAGGAAAGAGAATGAAAATCAGTAGAATTAAACAGGAACCTGAAAACCAAAATGCTCAGCAAGGAAGAGGCCACGCAAGTCCTTTACTGTGTGTGGGAGAAAAGTCAGGCTAAATTATAGATTAGGCCTATAGTACAGTATGGGGTTTGTTTGGGTTTGGGTTTTGTTGTTGTTGTTGTTTTGGTCATGTTATTTACTTATCCAATTCCATGTTATTACACAAATATATGCAGGATGTGTTACAATGGATATAAAGCTACTAGTCTGTAATGGGGCTGATAAAATGTTGCTTGGGGGCCTGCAAATCCTCCCCAAATTTGCATGAAGCCTGCAACTGTAAGAAAATAAATTGTATTGAACTTCTTCCAAAAAAATATGCTAAGGATTGGATTGTTAAATCTTTCTAGACCTCCAAGAGCTACTCAGTATAGTGCCATGAATTGCAAATTAAAAAATTAATATTTTATATATGTTCTCCTTAAACAAGATAACTGCCAAGAAAAAAGTCAGGTATGCATATTCATACCCAGAAATCATCTCTTATGTATATCCTTACACACTTTTGCAATTTTATTCTGTAGTGATTGGTATTCTCAAAAAAAGGAGAACAATCTGTAGTGGAAAACTTGAGAATTTGCTCAAAGCAGGGTTCTATCCAACCTATGTTTATGGTTTACAGATGCAACCCTAATCCCAATTGCCTGTGAGTAAACCCAACTGAATTTGATAGGACTTGCTTCCTAGAAGACATGGTTAGAACTGCACTGTAATGCTCTCTACCTCACACTAAGCCATACATACTACTTTCCTGTATACACTGCTCTGACAACCTACAGTTAAGGCTGCAAATCCTGCAATCTTAGATTTCCAGAGATTAAGTCTTATTGAACTCAGTTGGGGTTACCTTTAAGTACACAGGCATAGATAGGATGGCACTGTAAGTTTTTTTAGCCATCACTTGACAAGCAACACTCTTCTAGCTTCTCATCACATATCTGTAATCAGCCATAACTACAACAAATAAAACTAGTGCTTCTGAGCGTGTGTTTTTTCTTTTGAATTCCTTTCCTCAATGCATGCGCGCACACAAACACAGGCTCCGATCCTAACCATGCTTACTTAGGAGTAAGCCCGACTTCTACCACCACCCTGCCGTTCTGATCACCCACCACAAGATGGAGAACAAACCTGGAGGCTCCCAGAACGTTTAAAAAGATTCTTCAGGAGGCTCACACAAACAAGCCAAGCTAGACACACTGAGGTTAGTTAACAAAACAAAACAAGATCTCTGCCAAACACACTGGCAGGAGAGTTTGTACGCACATAACCTTGACCCCAGTTCAAGAAGCGTGCATGCACACGAAAGCTTATACCCAGAACAAACTTAGTTGGTCTCTAAGGTGCTACTGGACAATTTTTTAATTTTTTTTAATTCCAGTTTAGGAGGGTCAATTCTGTAAATGCCTTTAGGCTGAACAAAATCTCACCACCCCCACAAAATTCATCCCCACCCCCGCCGCCCCACCCTTTCCTTATTTGAATCCGGCAACGCTGCTTGCGTTTCCTTCTCTCACCGTCAGGGAGACCAAGAAATCCCCTCGATCCATGTGCGCACAAAACGTCAGCCGCACGCTGTAAACACACCCGATACTCGTTGCACATGGGCGCAGCCATATTGAAACCTTCCGCCCCACCCCCTGGCCCGTCACATGACCAGCGCTTGCCCAATCAGCTTCTGCTAACGAAGAGTTCACACGGCCGAGCGCTTGCAGCAGGCGCGTGCGCGGCGTCGGAAAGCGAAGCCGCGGTGAAGCAGTTGCCCTCTTTTCTGTGCCCTTGGCACCTTCCTCTGTCGCTTGACCGTTCTAATACGGCATGCAATGCTAATGTCTCACTACAAAGGAAACTGATCTGTAGAAAACACAACTTGGAAAAAAGAGACAATGCACGTATTTTTGTAAACTAAGAAATATTTAATTAAAAAATATTTTTAAATAACAGAAGGATGCCTATAATCCATTTTGGACTGTAGACAAGAAATACCTGTCGGTCGTGTGTGTGGGTGATGTTTTATCTTTATTGTGTTATGGCATATTTAGTAGTGCGTGTATGTGCATAGGCGCCGACTCCATGGGGCTTGAGGGGGCCCGAGCCCCCTCAAAAATTCGTTTGGGGGGGCTCAGCCCCCCCAATAATCTCCGGCGCCCCTCCAGCAGAGCGCCATCGCCGCCCCTCCCCCAGCCCAAAATGCACAGGGTCGGGCTGCACGCCTCCTGCCCTCCCTCCCGAGCAAAAGCTCCACCCAATTTCCGCTCCGGAGCTGATTAATAGGCGCAGCACGCTCTCCCCTATTCGCTCACGAGGAGGCGGTGCCACTTTATTTGCATATTCATGAGCTTATTTATTATTCATGAGCTTTCCCGGGCCCCCCCAATATTTTTTATAAGTCCGCGTCCCTGTGTATGTGTGCTATTAAGCAATGTTTATTCACCCTTTAAAAGAGAGCACGTTATAAAGGATAATTGATAGATAATGAAGCGGCTCCCACCCACCCTATTAAATTACAGTATGAGGGAAAGTTAACAGCTTAAAGGACTGGATGGTTTAAAGGGCAAACTGAACTGCATTTTAGGGAAATCTTTCAGCTAATAATGCCACAGAAGAAGCAGAATTCTAAAGTTTATTAAGCATAATAGTTAATTCCAACCTGGCTTCCCTTCTTGCAGTAATAATCTTGATGAAAACTATTTGCAGGTAGTCTAAATAAAGCAGATTATCAATAGCATTTAAAAAGGGGAGTTGGAATGTGTGCTGTTTAGCTATTTAAGCAAAGGTTTTCATTGCTCCTCTTCACAAGTTGCAAAGATTGTGTTCAGTTACAGATACCATGCAGAGAAATGAGGCATTATAACTTCATAGCCTCACTTACCACACTGTAAAAAATGAAAGCTAAGGGCTTTGCATTTAATTCTGTGTAGAATTCATTTGATGTTTAGAACTGAGACATACACAGGGTTTTTAGGAAGAAATATGTGAAGCTGTCTTATAATACCAGGCCCAGATATGTGTCCCTGGAGCCCAATATTGTCTGTTTTGACTGGCAGCTGCTATAGGGTCACAGGCAGAGGTCTTTCCCCATGACCTGCTACCTGAACATGCCGATTTTGTTCAGTTTCTGTTAATTGGTTCTCGTGAGAAACTTGCAGATTCTGGCTTCGCACAATTAACTCAAGGCAGTGTCAATTTACTCTTGGCAGAAAGCCCAGGTCTGCTTGACCTAGAAACTACTTACTCTGATTGGTTAACGACCAGCACTCAACTCTGTTATCTAGGATTGCTAGCACAGTTTGGTGTGAGGTGTGTTAGGAGTAGAAGTGCTGTGTATGGTTTTGAGAGAGAGAGAGAGAAAGAAAGGATTTATTTTGCTTTGATTTGTATGCAGAAACTCTGCTGGTTTTATTTTTTCTTTTTTAATAAATCCTGTAAATAGTTATTCTGAGTCTAGCTGACTAGTCATTACTGCCGCAACTAGCTTCCTCGCTGTGCAGGAAAACTCTGCTACGTTTGGGCTAAAGCCAATAGGGCTATGCCTGACACTTCAAAGTTCCATGAGATTTAAGATTCTGAGACTGAAGCTGAAATCTTGTGCATGCAAAACACATTTTCTGTCTCTGAGTGATGCTTCCTTACCCCGCCACCACCCCAATGCTCTTGTCCATCACATTGGCATAAGCACCTTTTTAAAAAAAAAACTTCAGTGCAAAACTGCTCTGTGTAGTTTTCCAGATACAGACCAATGAATATGATTAATTTTTTTACCACAAAGAATTTTCAAAAATATTAAGTGGACTCTTTCAAGATACTGCAATTTTCTCTTCATTTTAAGACTAACTTTTTGTTATCATTTTGAGGTGAATAGTCTTTCTTCCCTAACCATGACTGTAGCTGACTCATTTTTCTGGTTTGTTGTGTGACTCATGACAATTTCAGAAATGAACCTTTACCTCTCCTCTCTTCCTGATCAAGAAACACCAGCAATTGGGGCTGACTGACTGCTGAAAAAAACCCTTGGGAAATATAGGTAAAGGTAAAGGGACCCTGACCGTTAGGTCCAGTCGTGGCCGACTCTGGGGTTGCAGCGCTCATCTCACTTTATTGGGCAAGGGAGCTGGTTTACAGCTTCCGGGTCATGTGGCCAGCAGGACTAAGCCGCTTCTGGTGAACAAGAGCAGTGCACGGAAACGCCGTTTACCTTCCCTATTTATCTACTTGCACTTTGACATGCTTTCAAACTGCTAGGTTGGCAGAAACAGGGACCGAGCAACAGGAAATCACCCCGTCACAGGGATTCGAACCGCCGACCTTCTGATCAGCAAGTCCTAGGCTCTGTGGTTTAACCCACAGCGCCACCCACGTCCCCTTGGGAAATATAGTTGTAACCTAAATGACCACCTTTCTGCTTTTTGTGAAATGGTGCAAAGAGATCTGCACCTACTCCTGATCTTTCCCTTCCCAATGGCTCGATTTAAATCATGGCAATTCCGGGTTTATGTTTTAAGGACCATCTGAAAGCTATCAGCTCAAAATTGAGGGAGTGGGAGCCAGGAGCAGTAACTGAGATCCTGTCCCCATCTCCTCTGACATCCAAGGCATCGTGCACAGCACCCATGCAGGGTCAGAACTGCGATAGGGTGAGTGGGGCCCTTGCTCCAAGTGGGAACCCAAATCATGATTAATGTTGTGTGTGTGTACACATTATTAAAATAAATATTTTTTATTTTCAGTGATACAGTGGTACCTCGGGTTAAGTACTTAATTCATTCCAGAGGTCCGTTCTTAACCTGAAACTGTTCTTAACCTGAAGCACCACTTTAGCTAATGGGGCCTCCTGCTGCTGCCGCGTCGCCGGAGCACGATTTCTGTTCTCCTCCTGAAGCAAAGTTCTTAACCTGAGGTAATATTTCTGGGTTAGCGGAGTCTGTAACCTGAAGCATATGTAACCTGAAGCGTATGTAACCCGAGGTACCACTGTATAGCGGGTGATACTGAATGTTATTGGGGCTGGTGGTGAAACACAGTTATTGTTGTTGCAACAACAACAACAACAAATGATGTGCAAAGGTAAGCTGACAGCAGCTGGGCAGATGTTTCAGAAGCCAGGTAGAAGTGCAAGGTGCCTTCTTATTAACTGCTTGCATCTCTTTTGTCAAAGTTTGGGTTCCTTTTTGCTCTCCTTATTTGAAGAAAAGTTCAGTTTTTGAAGGAAGCCGCCCTCTTCCCACTTATTAACCATACAGGCATCTTCTTGGCTCTTTCTTGGTCTGCAGTATATATTTAAATGTTTAAATGATACATGCTTGCTGTTTGCCATTTTATTGCATCTGTTGTTAATCCTTTTTTTTTTTTAACACCATAAAATACAGGTGTTAAAAAAAAAATGCGAAAGGCTGGGCTGGATGAATCCCAAGCCGGAATTAAGATCGCTGGAAGAAATATCAACAACCTCAGATATGCAGATGACACAACCTTGATGGCAGAAAGTGAGGAGGAATTAAAGAACCTTTTAATGAGGGTGAAAGAGGAGAGCGCAAAATATGGTCTGAAGCTCAACATCAAAAAAACAAAGATCATGGCCACTGGTCCCATCACCTCCTGGCAAATAGAAGGGGAAGAAATGGAGGCAGTGAGAGATTTTATTTTCTTGGGCTCCATGATCACTGCAGATGGTGACAGCAGTCACGAAATTAAAAGACGCCTGCTCCTTGGGAGAAAGGCGATGGCAAATCTAGACAACATCTTAAAAAGTAGAGACATCACCTTACCAACAAAGGTCCATATAGTTAAAGCCATGGTTTTCCCAGTAGTGATGTATGGAAGTGAGAGCTGGACCATAAAGAAGGCTGATCGCCGAAGAATTGATGCTTTTGAATTATGGTGCTGGAGGAGACTCTTGAGAGTCCCATGGACTGCAAGAAGATCAAACGCATCCATTCTTAAGGAAATCAGACCTGAGTGCTCACTGGAAGGACAGATCGTGAAGTTGAGGCTCCAATACTTTGGCCACCTCATGTGAAGAGAAGACTCCCTGGAAAAGACCCTGATGTTGGGAAAGAGAAGGGGACGACAGAGGATGAGATGGTTGGATAGTGTGCTCGAAGCTACAAACATGAGCCTGACCAAACTGCGGGAGGCGGTGGAAGACAGGAGTGCCTGGCGTGCTCTGGTCCATGGGGTCACGAAGAGTCGGACTAAACAACAACAACAAAATACAGGGGTTGGCTTATGGCAACATTTCATGTTGTTTACCCTGGGTGCGAAGATAACCTAGTTCCATTTCTGCACCCAAGGCCAGCCAAATTATTCAGGCAGAAAAATTCCACAAATGTCTCTCCCTCTTCCTGGCAGTTAAATATAACAATAATATAGTAAATAACTAGCTAGCCATTTGCTACCCTTTCATGCTACTGGAATCGGCTGCCTGAGGCAGCCACTTCGGTCTGCCCAATGGGAGGACCGGCCCTGCAACACGATAACAAGCTTTTCTCTGCAGAACAAAAACGGAAATGTATCCTCTTCTTGGCCCAGTTTTTCATCATTTATCTCAGCCTTTTCAGCCGAGGATGACAGACATAGAAATTTGGCTATGACTCATTCACTCAGCTCAAGGATCTCCTCCATCCCGC